GGCGGTGCGAGCGCCAGGCTGGGGACTCGCTGCGGGACCTGCGGAGAGGGTGGCCGGGGGCCGAGGGACAGGCTGAGCCACCGCGGGGGACACGCAGGGACACAGAGAGCCCCGCTGCCCCCGCCGGCCCGGCCCCTCACCTCTTGCGCTCTTTGTTTTTCTCTTTCCGTTTGTTCTTGGGGCTTCGGGACCTGCGGGAAGAGCCGAAAGCTGCAGACGTGGGAGCGGGGGCAGCACCTGCGGGGGGCTTTCCCAGCCCCCCAGAGACACCGAGGCTGCTGGAGGAGCGAGGGCAAGGACCTGCGTGGTCTGGAGCTGGGCTCCACTGAGGTTCAAAGCGTGGTGGGGATCCCAGGTGGATCTGGGGGGACTGTGGGGTCAGGGGCAGGTTGGAGAGAAGGGCAGACTGGCTCTGCTTAACATCCTCAGGGCTCGTGCCCCTTGTCACCCCCCCACACTTGTTCTGTCCTGCACCTTGTCTGGCACCCTTTGTCTGTTTTTTACTCCTTCCACCCTAAAACAGCAGTGTTGGCAGAGGGCATCTGCAGAGCAGAGCAAGAGTCAAGGTTTGCCCTGGCCATGGCTGCCTGGGATTCCCCCTTCTCCCCTGGGGGACATTTGGGGCCAGTCCTGTGCCCTGTGTCACATCCCAGGGCAGGGGACACACAGCAGTGTCCAGCTGCGGGGTGAGGGGGTCCATCACGATGGGCAGAGGGGAGGGGAGGGGACAGCAGAAGGGCAGGACACAGGGGGTCCCTGGCAGAGGAAGCTGGCAGCTGGTGGCAGTGGGGTGGCTCCTGGTAGCCATCACTCTTACCTGTGTCTTCTCTTTTTTCGTGACCCCGATTCAGACCTAAGGGAAGAAGAGGAGGCAGAGATGAAGGAGATCCACTGATCTGGCCAGCAGGGAGCAAAGCTGGGCAGTTTCCAGGGATGAGGAGAAGGACAGGGAGATGGCCCCAAAGTGGATGGGGCAGGTGACAGTGGCTATGAGGAGGTGATGGCCCCATGAAAAGTCATCAATGTCCATTCCTATCCATGTCTAAATCCCACCCCAGCCCAAGGGCCCCTGAGCAGCCCCAACCAGCCCCACTGTCTCCTGCCAGCCCTGCTGTCTCCAACCTGCTGTCGTGTCCATCCTACCTGTCACGTCTGTGTTTCTTTCCAGTCTTCTTCTTCTTTTCCTTGCGGATGGGTGAAGAGCTGTCACAGCTAGAGGGGAAGTGGGTGCCCTTGAGCAGGGAGCAAGCAGCCTCTTCCCCCTGGCCCAGGGGAGTCTGGTCCCACCACCCCCAGTCACATTGCTTACCCTGGACCACCCCATAGGATGCATGAACATCGCATGGCAGTTATTTCCTGGGGGATTTGGGTTGGGGGACAGAAAGGGACTTCTAGCAGAAGGGCTCTGTCTGCCTTCAGTTCTGGAATGCCCAAATGCTGCTGTGTCTCATTGCCACCTCATGGGCTCCACAGCCTCCACCAGGAGAGAAGGTGGCCAATTCCCAGTGGGATTTCAGAGGGGGACAGTGGGTGGTAGAGGCCAGCCTTTGTAAGGCCCAGTGGCCTTGTAAGCCCAGAGGGGACCCTAGAGCCCACCCAGCCCAGTGGTCACTCACCTACGATCTGAGCCGGGTTTCCTCTTTTTGCTGCCATGGAAAGGGCAGAGAAGAAAGGGACATTAGGGACATGATCCTGCTTGGGCAGCTAGTGCTTAAGTGGTGAGGTTTTGGGTAGATGGACCCTTCACAGAGCCATATCCTGCCTGCTGCTGTGCCCCGTGGCAGCGAGCTCCTTCCCCACATGGACCAGGCAAGGTCCCACCTGTGCATGCAGTGGGTGTGTGCGCACACGTGTGTGTTACAGTATCAGTACATGCAGATGCATTGCACCTCTTAAGGGTGCACATGTAGGGATGTACTTCCCCCCAAAGTGGGGTGACTTGCCCCTCCAGAGCCTGGGAAAAGGCTGAGCTGGGAGGTGAGCTGCCCTCCAGAGAGAGGGGACAGTGCAGGGACAGCCAGGGACTCACCGGCTCCGGCGGTGACCTGATTTCTTCTTCTTTTTTTTCTTGGGAGGAGGAGAGGTGGAGCTGCTCGAGCGTCTTTTCAGCCTGTGGGAGACAGTGGACAAGGTTGAGAAAAGAAGAAGGGACAGGCCTCAGGCTTCTGTGTCCCAGAGTCCCCAGAATCCACTCAAACCTGTACTCGCGGTGGCCGCTGTCCTCGCGGTAGCACTCGGCCGAGCAGTCGCACTGCAGCAGGCAGCCCTCCCCGTAGTCAGGGTACTCCACCGCGTACTCCTCCCCATCCGCCCCGTGGTGGTTTTCTATCACACTGCCAAAGGAGGAAGAGCAGGATTAATTTGGGGGTCCCCATTCCCTGTCTCCCACCAGAGCAGCTGGGGCAGCCCCAAGGCAGCTAGAGGGGCAGGGGGACATTCCCTCTGCATCCCAAGGGGACCTTGGTCGTGTCCCTTGATGTCCACACACAACGAAGTCCCAGGGTGGAGGTCTGCTCAGGGTCTTCCTGTGGCTCCAATCCCTGCAGAGATCCCGTCCAGGCTGGCATAGGGACACCCAGACCCAACCTCATTTGAGCCCCCGTTGGCTTCGCTCAAGTGCTGGAGCTGAGCAGGAGGCTGGGTCAGCCCAGGTGGGTTGCAGGGCTGGATAAGGGTGAGAAGAGCTGGCAGAAGAGCAGGAAATTTTGGTGGGAACTGCCCAGGATGGTCTGGGCTTTGAGGCCAGCACCCCACGGTGCCACCAGCTCAGCACTGGAGCTTCAGGCAGGTAATGGTCAATGTCCCTCCTAGGGCCAGGTGAAGAAGGGGTGGGGGGACATCATGCCTAGAGCCATCAGGGTCTCTCTTTCTCCTGAATGACTTTGTCAGAATTAATTTTCCCCACTGCCATGGAAACCAGCATGAGGTTGCCATTGACTACCAGGGCTGTGGGCAGGGCTTGGCAGAGGCCTGGCAGCTGGACTAGGACAGTCTCAGGAGTCCCTGCCCAACCTCTCCCTGATGCCCCCACCTGCCTGGTCTGGCTCTGCCATCAGCCCCAGGAACAAACCCCACAGGGAGCCTCTCATTTGCTCTTGGGGGATGTAGGACATCTCACCCATGGAGTGACAAGGACAACCAGGTGCTCTAGAGGGAAACTTAAGAGATGGGGACAGGCTTGGAGGGTGCCCAGCACCACACCAGCCCAGGTGTTTGCTTCCCAAGGGAGATTTGCCCTCAGAAACCTGGTGTGGACTCCTCTGCCCTTCCCGGTCTGGAGGTGAGCAGTCAGCGATGCTGATGGCAGCATCAGTCCCTTGGCAGCCTGGCCATTGCCTGAGAAAAGGGAAGCTCCCAGTCCCAGACTGCAGATCTGACAGCGGCACGTGTTGGGATCGTTGGCCACAGGCAGACCATGGGCTGTTTAACCTAATTAGAAATGTCTTGGACTGAAACTACACAGGAGGCACCCTCCCCCTAACCACGGACAATCGCTCAAGCAGGACTTGGGCTCCCTTCTGCGCCACAGCCATGGCTTGCTGGGTCCCCTCCAAGTGACTCCTGCTTTGGCTATGTCCCAAAGGTAGGAACAGCCTTTCAAACACCCACCCAGCCGTGGGAAGGGGGAGAAAAGAGGCAAAGAGAGAAGGGAGCGGGGTTAATTCTCTGTGTGTGTCTCTGCTCCGTGAGCAGGCAGTGCTCCACGCCAGAGCCTGCTGCCAGCATCTCACCCATTAGCTGCGCTCAGCAGCTCAAGACCAGCCTTGTGCTGCTCCAATTATCCCTCCCTGCCCAGCACACGCTCGCCTTTGTCTGCAATCCCACCAGTCTGTCCATCAAGCCCTTCTCCTTGGGGACCGGGCTGTACCGAGCTGTGCACACGGAGACGGGAGCTGGGAGCGCACAAAGAGCAAAGCCAGGGACTCAGGTGGTCACAGCTCTGCTCGATGCCTCATTTTTCCCTGGGGAGTTATGCAGATGATGCTGAGCTCTCACATTGGCTTTGAAACAGGACCAGCTGGTTCAGACTCACAGTCCTGGCAGCCAAGGACTGAGCGGTAAAAGCCCAGAGCGGTGCTGGAGCAGCACCTGCCCACAAGATGTTCTGCTGAGCACTCTCCCAGCCACCAAAAGGGCTGAGGCTCTTCATTTAAAGCTTATTTAAGCCCCTTGTCCAGACTCTTCATGCAGCACAGACCTTTGGCGTGCAGGATATCCTCCAGCAGCTCAGATCCTTGCTGCTTGAAGATCCACCTCCTTCAGTCCCAGCTCCCACCAGCCTCCTCAAGCGCCTCTGGCTTTGTTCTCCTCCGAGCAGTCCTTTGCTCTGAGACTGCTCCTTCCAGCTCAGCACTATTATTTATAGCCCTGGGGTTAATCTTTGATGATTACGCTTCGTTTTGCAAAACCAAGCCTGTAAAGGTGACAGCCAGGGCTGCCTGGGTAACCTTAAGGCACCTTTGGCTTCCCCATGTGCTCATTACAGTGCTGGCCATAAGGAGCCTGCCAGGAAGATGCCCTGGAGATGACTCCTGCCCCCACGAGCAAAGGCCACTTAACACCTCAGATGTGATACTCAGTGACCTGGGCAGGTTGTTTTACCCCATGCCTTGTTTTTTTCCTGCCTAGAGGAGGATCCTGAATGTTTCACACTGTCCCAAGCCCATGTGCTCCATCCAGGTAGGGCACAGCCATGTCCCTGTGTCCCACCCAGCCTGGCGTGCCAGCAGAGTGGTGGGAGGGAAGCTCTCCCTGCTGCCACGGCTTCCCTGCCTCCCCCCTCGCCCTGATTTCCTGACCCTAATGAAGCATTAATATTCAGTGAACCTGCAGCATCTATTCCTGTCCCAAGTGACCTGGTTTCCAGGCTGATGGATGGTGCACGCCGGGCCAGCCATACTGCCTGGGCCATTAAGCATTGCACTGATAAATCATCATCGAGCTGAGGTGGACCCTGCTGAGGCTGGGGACAGTCCTGTGCAGGGCAGGAGCAGCAACTGGCATGTCTCCAGCAGGAGTTGGGCTGCTTTGGATACCAAACCTGAGCCCTAAGCCCCCTTCCAGGGCAGGTGCAGCCCCCCAGGACCAGGCACTGTGAGGAGTGATTAAAAGCAGAGGAACAGTACAGGATCTCCTTGGAGAAGCTTCTTGCATAGGGTTCCTGCCCATGGCTGGTGGGGTAAGCCAGACATTGAGACCTTCTGCACTTGGGTTTCATCATCTAGGACAGGATTGCAACGCTGGCCTCTGTTCAGCACCCAGAGGTCTCCAAATGATCAGTGCAGGACAACTTTTAACCTCTCCAGAGGTAGGATTCTGCCTCAGAGGGGCAGATCCTGCCTCCAGCTGTCTGAACAGCCAACCAACCAACCAACCAATCATCAAATCAACCAACAAACCATCAAATCAACCAATCAACCAATCAAACAATCATCAAATTAAACAAACATTGACTCAAAGCCAACATCCATCCATCCATCCATCCATCCATCCATCCATCCATCCATCATCCATCCATCCATCCATCCATCCATCCATCCATCCATCCATCCATCATCCATCTCTATATACTCTCTCCTTGTCCATCCATCTATCCAGTCATGCATAGATACACCCTCCTCCACCCACCCACCTGCCCATTGATACTCAGAGGCAATCAAGGATGTGCCTCTCTGGGATGAGATGCACAGATGGACCAGCTGGAAGCTGCCTGACTTACATTTGGCGCCCGTGCTGGTCCTCCCTGGTGAGCACACCCTCCTTCTCCATCAGCATTTGCCGAAAGGTCCCCACTTTCTGTCGGATCTCCTCTTCGGAGTACCTGGATGGGCAAAGACGTGGTCAGGGCTGCTGTGGTTGGAGCATGGGCTCTCCATGGACCCGCTGAGGAACTCTATGCCTTTAAGTGACACATGGCCCAAGGGGACAATCAAAAGGGGAGGTGGTATGGTGACAGTCATCAGGGCCTGGAGGACAGCAGGACCTTTGCTCAGTCCCCTGCCACCACTATCCACGTCCTCCTCTCCCAGCAGTGCATGGCAGAGGAAGGGACATCAGGAAAGGGGAGAAGAAAAGGATGACCATGAAGTGGCAAGTGTCCACCAAACCCCCTTGGCAGTGCCACCAATGCAGCCAGTGATTCTGGGGTTCACCCCCAGCATCTCTGTCCCATCACGAGCTCACCCCATGATGCTCCAGGGCCCTGAAAGCCGTGACAGCTCTGTGCTACCGCTGAGCGCTGACTCAGGCTTCTGCAGGGTTATTAACAAGAGACACTAATCACTGTGTCCTGGCATCTGAGAACAGCCACTGCAAACCACGGCGCCCCCGCCGTCCCCAAGGTGTCCCTGGGAAGGGGCAGGTGACAGCCCTGGGCAGGTGTTCCTGTGCCACATCTCGTGGCTGCACAAGGCATCCTCCTCTACTAAAAATATCCCAAGGATGTAGTGGAGAGACCCAGGATGCTCTTGGCATCATCCCAGGGGAGAAGGTGAAGGGAGAGGGGAACCACCACACTGCCAGCCTGGGAGGGAAGGGGTTGGGCTCTGTGTGTGTCCTTGTCCTCAGGCATGGCCTCTGCAGGGGCTGCTCATGGCCCACCTTTTCCATCACATCCCATCAGCATCACTGCCACCAGCCCAGAAAAATGGATGCCAGAGCCAGGCTTAGCCCTGCAGTCCCAAAAGCTGGCACTTCACACAGCCCGTGCTGGGGACGGTGATGCCCCTCACAGTGCTCTGGGTGCCCCTGGGCGCCCTGGGTGAGGAAGGGCACGTGGCATCACCCACCCCTCCTGCAGTGTCCATGAAGGGGAACACCGAGGAAAAGAGAATTAATATTAATGAACTCATTTGCAATGAAAGACTCTCATTAATTCCCCAGCCAGATTCCACACAGAAGAAAGGATGATAACAGGGTATGGAGGCAGCCTGGCTGCTTCCTCTCACCTTACACCTGGGCATGGGGAGCCCCAAAACCAGGGTAGCACCCTCAAATGCTGCTCTCCATTCCCTCGATGGCACTGCACCCGGCTGGGCAGAGTGACCACCCCGCAAGGATGGAGTTGCTGGCCCTGGCCATGCCATGGACACCAGCCAGCCCACAGCAGCAGGAAGATGTCTGCCCAAGATGAGCATTTGCTGCAGCATGTTAAGAACACGGCCAGTGCTCTTGGAGAGGGGACATGAGGCCAAACAGGAGGTGACAGATGGGCCACTGCGGCTGGGCCATTAGCAAATCTGTGGGGGGAGGCCAAGGGAAGGAACTCCCCACCACCTCCAGAGATGGAGGCAGGAGCACCACCAGCCCTTTCCCTCCTGCATTCCCCTGGTGCTGCTTCTTACCCCATTGCAGGGGGTTTGCTTTTGCATTTAACATATAGAATGGATTTGGGAAAGAAAGAAAATTTTGCTGACACTTCTTTTCCGGACAAGGAATCCAGCCTGCAGGCAGGGAATAACAGTGCTGGCAGCCTGGAGCGAGCTACAGCACAGGCAGGAGGAGCCATCCGCCTTTAAGGAAACAAGGGAGAGTTTAAATCCCTGCAGAACCCCCACTGCTGACATTCATATCCATCCTGGGGCTCTGCCCTCATTACAGCTCCCCCAAGGCCATAGCCAGGAGGCTGTCCCTGGTCCAGGCAGAAATCTCAGGGGTGCAAATCCCTTCACATGGAACCCCCCCTGGAAAGCCCCTGTGTGGAGGGGAAGAGCAGGCGGAGGATTAAGCAGGTTGACCAAGATTATTACTGTAATTATATTATCATTTCGGCGTATCGCCATCATCAGTGTTATTAATAGCCTTAATAACAGCAAAGCAATTATAGCAATAACAACAATCCTGGTTGCAGTGTTGCTATTACCCATTGCAGTAATGATACTACCAGTAGTAAGATCCCTACTAGGGCTCGGGAACCCAACAGGAGGCTCTGGGCTCCCCAAAGCGCCAGGTCAGCCTTATTTATTTCCATAATGACAAATTAGGCACAATCATTATTCCAGTCTGTGTGAGACAATTTAATTCTAGGTCACGCTTGCACTCTTAATGAAAGCCTTGGCGAAGCCTTCCCTCAATCCATTTTCCTTCTCCCCAGCTGATACCAGTCCCCGTCTACCCAAGTGTGCCGAAGAATTTGCTCCATCCATCAGGTTTTAGAGAGCTGTCAGAGGGATCAGGATGTTTGGCTGCTGCCAGAGACAGCACAGCCATGCCCAGCAGGGATGAGGGTCTCCTTTTTCTGGCCCCCCCAGTCCCCTCTGCCCACCAAGGAAGGGATGTTCCTCAGCCCCTTGGGTTCTTCCCTATCTCTTTGTTTCCCAGGGGGAGAGGAAAGGCTGGGGAGCAGCTTGCAGTGTCTGGACATGGCATTGGCAGGATGGGGGCCTGACAGGACAGGGGGGTGTCCTGTCACCCCAAAACCAGGGAAGAGAAGGAAGACAGGGCAAATGAAAGCCCCAAACCAGCCTCTCCTGTGAGCAAACCCCAGCTTTCCTCTGGGATCCCACATCCCAGGATAGGTGGCACTCATGACTTGCACAACCGTGAGCAACTTCACTCCTCCTTTCTGCTTCAGCTTTCTCTTCAGGACAAGCTGGGAGCTCAGACTTCCAAGCAGGGAAAGTGGATGAACTCCTGGGAATTTCTCTCCACAGACCAATTCACCAAAGCTGTTTGGTTCACCCAAAAGTGGATTTATTTCCAAATGGGAACATTTGCCACATCAAGGTATTTTTTTAAAGGGGGAGAACAAGGTGCAAACAGATCAAAAAGATCTCATCCCCAATGTCCCCACCACTCACCCCTGTTCCTCCATCATCTCCTGCAGCTCCATGCACTTCAGCTCCACCCGCCTCTTGCGCTCATGGTCCAGGATTTCCCGGTGAGCCTTCTTCACCATGCTGGGCTCCACCAGCCGCACCTCCTCCTCACCCTTGTGCCACGTTCCTGAGGCACCGGGCTGGGGGAAGCCGTTTGAGGCTTCCTGGGGCGAAGGCACGTCGGCCCCATTGTTGTAGAGAGCCATGATTGCCTGGGAAGGAAAGAAAGAGTCAGGGTCAGTCCCTGCCCTGCTTCCCATTTCACCCCATGATAGTGAGGGGACCCTGCTAGGACCTGAGGGTAAAATCAGTCTTGAAAGCAGGTTGATGGGGACAGTGGCTAGATCTCCCTGCACCTTGCTTCAGCTTCCTCATCCTAAAAGCAAGGCTGGGGGCTACTCCCATCACCATGACAAGAAGGCTGGCTCCGGGAAAAGAGAGGAGGATGCTCTGCTCCAGCCTTGTACTGGAAAAACCTGGCCAAGGGTGGGTCTCTGTGGGGTTCAAGATGATACAGCAGCAGCAGGACAGGTGGGCAGGGGTCCCTCCCAGCCTCATGGACCCCACTGTCAGTGTGGGTTTGGAGCAGGGACAGGCATCCATCCTCACAGTTCTCTAGGGACCCAAAGACCTCATATATCCCCTTGCATTCCCCAGCTGCACTGGCTGGTTTGGTTGCAGTAGTGGGACATCCCAATGTCTGACTCAGGCAGCAAACACTTGCTGATGCTCTTGGGCTATGGCCTGGCACTCTTTGGCTGTGGCCCAGGGTGGGCTACAAGGGGAGATGAGGATCCCCACCAGCTTCTGCCCCCCCTGCCTTTCCCCTGCTCCTTCATCTTCACGTGTGTCTGCCTCCTCTTTGCACCACACGGTCAATGTGTCCTCACTTGGCTCCAAAAATAACCCCTGGAAAAGGACAACTGTTCCCAAGCAGCACTGCCGTGCTGAGGCTCCGGCTGATGCTCCCCGAGCCTGAGGGTGGAGATGCTCCCAAATCTCCTGGATCATCCAGACAGACACAGCCCTGTCTCAGCGCCCTCAGGCCAGCGGCACATGGCTGAGCACCCATTTCTCACTGTCCCTGTTGTCCCACCATGCCCCAGCTCCCCTGCTCAGCTCCCCAGCATTCCAGCCCTCTCCTGAGCATGGGATGCTCCCACTGGAGATCTGCTGCCTTAACCACCAGCTCCACCAGGCTGCAGAGGCACTACCTGGGCTTTACTGGAGCCCTGCACAAAGAGAAACGATCAGTAGCAAAGGCAGAGCACCCTGCCTCACACTCCAAGCTGGATTTAGGCTTGGAGAAGCAGCTTTTGCCAGAAAGTCACTTCTCTGAGGTGTTTCTAGCCCAGGGATCCTGCTGGAAAGGCTTTTCCAAGGATGGGTGTTGCCTGCACATCATCTCCTATGCAGGAAGCAGCCAATCCTTGGATGGCTGACACACGCTGCCCGTGGAGGGTGGGGCAAACACTGGCCCAGGCAAGGAGCCATCCCTAAACCCAGTAGAAGCAGGAAGGGCAGATGGACCATGGGCTGATCCACACTGTTTCAAGCCCAGGAAAGAAAGGTTTGCCATTCCTAGTGTGTCATTCCACCAGGATTCCAGGCAGCTCAGAGCTTTCCATGGCCATGCCAGTTGGGACAGAGCCAGGGTGGGAATGCAGATCAGCCACGAGGGGCTTTGACAAGGTTTCTTTGCTGTTTGAGGAGAGAAAATATCTCAGAGCCCTCCCCTGGGGAACCTGGCCAGAAGGCGTCTCCCACCCCATAGTATCCCCACAGGACATCCCTGACTTTCCTGCTGCCACTGGCTGCCCCTCACAGTCATTTATCTCCTGACGAGCCTGCCCAGGGAGAACAGCAGCTGAGTGCTTAATTACAAGGTTTTTTTTTTTTTTCTTTTTCTTTGTTTTCCTTTTTTTTTCTTTTTTTTTTCTTTCCCCCATTACTACCATGCAGAGAGGAGCCAGCAGCCTTTAATTTCACAGAGACACAGGGGAGATCCTGCTGGTGCAGCAGGGCTCTGCACTCCTGGATGCTCATCCCTCCACCTGGAGGGTCTCCTGGTCCTGCCTTGCCTGCAGCACCCACATTTCAAACCCCATGACACCCCACAGCCCTGCCCAGCCCTCCCTGAACCCAGCCCCCTTCACATCCCAGTGTGGCTCAAGGCTGGAGAGCAGAGAGATGCTGCAGGAAAACCTGTCTTGGGGGCACCTCTCCCTCTTTCTCCCATCAGGACATGAAGCCAAAAACCTGGAAGGAGGTTAGGGAAAGGGGGATGCTTCCCACTTAAAAAGCTTCCCCCTCGGAGGGGCTCAGGGAAGCAGAGGGGAAAGGAGAGGATGCTTTCTGCAGCAGCCTCTGCTTTGCTCGTTCCCAGTGGGAATTCATTTTATCCTGAGCCCAGCAGTGGATAAATTCATTGCTGAGAAACCTTGAGAGTGTGTGAGATACAGAGCTGGGCAGGTGGATGGAGACAAACTGGCAGCTGGATGGGTACCTGTGGGAGAAGGCTGCATGGTGGGGGAAGCATGCAGATCCACCAGAAAATGCTCCCTGTTTCCATGAAAAGGATGCAGCTGGAGAAATCCCTTTGCACCTGGGGCCAGGAAGGTGGAGCTGGACTGGAGATGGACACAGAACTGCATCCCAGTGTCCCCTCAGCCTGGAGCAATATCCACCATGGGAGCTGCCACCAGCCCCTGCCTCAGCCACAGCATGGACAGGGAAACAAAGGAATGGGAAAAACCCATCCACAACCCTCCCCCCAGCTCTCCAAAGGGCCCCCAGGCAAATCCCTGGGTGTCAAACAGAGCCAGCCCTACACTGGTGGTGACAATGGGGACAAGGCATGATGGCAGAGGGAGTCCACATCCCCCAGCTGGGTCTGAGCTCTCCCTGTCCCATGAGGAGAACCCCAGTGATGCCTGCACTCGTAAGGGACAGCTCAGGGACACAGAGTGGCTGTCACCACCACAACCTCAATCCATTGGCCACCACACAGGGACCACCCGGCTCTGCCAGCACCAAAACCGGCACCAAACCCATCAGCACAGCCCTGTCCAAACAGCAGTGGTTCCCCGCCGGGCTTGGCGCTACCCCGATAATAAAGATGATGGTTAAATATTTCATTATCTGCAGTAATTACCCACAAAACATCAATCACTGGCTGCTGTTGCCCGGCTGCCTCGCCCAGAGGGAGAGAGGCATCCTGGGGGGAGCTCTGTGTCTCCACACACTCCCAAAGGTTGCAGGATGTGGCTGGGGACAGCTGTTGGCATCCATTCCCACCTCCCAAATTCCCTTACTGACACCCAGGAGGGCCCAAACCCCCTGGCACCTTGGGCTGGGGCTGCTGGGGAGACTCCTGAGCAAATCCCTCTTTTCCCATATTAACCAGGCATTCGCCCACGTATTTTGGGATCCTGATCCTCCTCCTACGTGCCACCTTGGGCCTTGGGGAGGTCAATCCAGCTTTTCAGCTTGCAGGTGCTTTCTGATACCTGGATTAGAGCTTTTGGAAGTGTTCAGAGATGCCCCATCGTCCATCCTCATCCTCCATCCCTATCTTCACTCTCATCCACAAATTCCATCCTCATCCTCACCCCCCATCCTCATCCTCACCCCCATCCACCATCCTCATCCCCATTCTCCATCCCCATCCCTATTCTCAATTCTCCTCATCCCCATCTTCCATTTTTATCCTTCTTTTCCATCCTCCTCCTCCTCACTCTCCACCACCATCCTCCATCCTATGCCCAGGTCTCTCCCTCCCCAGCCATGCTTAAATCCCGCATGTACCAGCTCAGTGACTGCCAGGACAGACGGAAGGACGGACACACTGCATTGTGCCCCCGTCACACAGCCAGGACAGGCCCTGCCAGCTTGGGGTGCAAGGCCCATCCTCGCCAGGGTTTGGGGCTGCTGCTTTCCAGCCAAGCTGTGAACAGAGCTCACTCCCTGTGGGGTGGGGTGAGGTGGCCCAGGATGTGACTGTCCCCATATCCCAGCCCTGGAGCTGTCCCACCTGGGCTTTGTCCAGCTCACAGGTTCAGAATTCCAGATCAAAAGTAAAGAATCAAAACGATGGTGAAAACAGTGTTATTGCACCAAACCACTTCGGCCTTTTTATTTCCCAGCTCAGAACAAGCCCCATCCCTCTGAAATCCCCCTTGGGCCCGGCTCAGCCCCCGGCGCTGAGCAGCAGTGCCGCAGGGCCCCACCGCCGTACTGCGGATGGAGCCGCTTTCCTGGGGACAGCGGGGATGGCAGCGGCAGGGTGGCGGTGCCTGGATGCTCTCCCGAGTGCCTGGATGCTCTGCCGGCATCTCTCCCTCGCTGGGGAAAAGCAGCAGCGGTTCCCGGGCATCCTGCTCCCTTCCCCATGCCTCGGTGCTAATTAAAGCCGCCTCCGGCCGGTGCTCCATTAATTCTCGCCACATCCAGCTGCACCAGCGAGCACCCGCGTGCCGGGATGCGGGCACGGGATGTGGGCAGCGAGCCCAGGACGGCGGCTGCCCCGGCCACTCGTGCACTGAGCGTGCCAGAGCTCGGCCCCGACACGCCAGGGACAGCCCAGTGAGGTGAGGATGCTCCAGTCACTCCAGAGAGGCTGAGAGGGGTGGTCCCCGCGGTTCTCCTGCCTGTTGGGATCTCATCAGGACACGCCACCACTGACTGAAACTATAACCCTGTCCCCAGTCATGCACAGCCCCATCTCAGGCTGCTCCCTGTCTGTGCTGTGGCGACAGCTGGGAGAAGATATTTTTTTTCAGGATACAAAATATGCCAGAACACCATGGCCAGGCAGTCGGCCTCCTCTGAACACGCAGCTGGAGTTACAAGGAGGAAAAGTCCGGGGTTGCTGCCATTAATTGGGCTGACCTTCTCTGGAGCTGCCTTCCAGTGCCAAAAACCATGAGTCAGACCTTCAAGAACGAGGAAAAAGGCAAATCTAGCTTTAAAAGTGCAGCCATTCTGGGGCTCGTTAGCGCTGCCCTTCAGCCCCAAGCCACAGGGATGATGGCCATGGGAAGGGGCAGTGGGAATGGATTGGTGACAGCTGTCCCAGTGCTTCCATCCCTTTTCCCCCAAGCCCAGGGCATCCTTTCCTATAGCTGCCCAAGCAAAATTTGACACCTCACAGACTTTAAAGCAATTAGTAAAGAATATATGGATGCTGGCAGGGTGGTCAGGAGATGC